TTTTATTGTAATATTCATAAACTTTTTATAAACTAATTTAAAAACCGATCATGTGATGAACCATTTTTGTATATAAACGCGTATAATACGTTCTATGTACAACACCATAGCAATGTAAAATCAAAGCGAACAATTGAAGTGTTGAAATATTTTGATATTTACTAAAAATATTTTGGTAACGGTCGAATGGATATTGTACGGGTTACGGGTGTCTATAACCGTAAAAGAACGTGAAAAATATAGAGAACCTTCAGCGTTCCCGATGTTTCAATTAAAAATTGCGCTTCTGCGGGTTGAACCACCGGTTCACATAACGTAATTAGCATATGAAATGGTTACGCTGTAAAAGTATTAAGTTCTCAGCAAATCCTAGTCATGTGAAATCCCAAGGTGGACAGAAAAAAGTCCAAGAAGTTTTCAATATCCCGACGTAACGACGAGTCTCATCAAACAAGATGTCGATGTCGGGGGAGATATATTAATATATAATTTGACCCGACAAGAATTTTATTATAGAACATAATGTAGGGTTTCATTGTCATTTTTGCGTGACCCGTTTACACTGCTTCCGAAGCAATACGCACACGTACATCAATAACACGATAATGTGAACGGATCCGATGACAGCATAATAAGAGCACGGACAGGCAGGACGGAAACTTATGGTCATCGTCGACGTCGTTCGCGCGGCTCGGGGAAGGATGAAAATCGTACGAGTGGGATTTGTTAAGGGATTTCGTGCGACGGGGTGGATTGAAAACGGTGCTTTGTCGTCTCCGCGGTCTCAAGGGCACGTCGTCCGATCGATCCATGGAGATTTTGAAAACTTATTCGATACTCGCCACACGTCAGGTCCCGCGATCGACATTGCCACGTGTTCTGCGGCATCCGACTTTTCAAATCAAAACCTGTTGCTAGCCGGTATACGATATCGGTGCGAATCTCGAGAGGCACGAATCGGAAACTGAGGAAATTCGATTTAGCGACCGATTCGAATGCGATTTCGAAATCGTTAACGCATCTACAGGTGAAAACAATTACACTGCGTGGAACGTGCGTGCGATGGATCTGTTAATGCAATTATTGAAAAACCAAATCTCGTCCCGGACGAAACTAGGACACGGACGTTCGATGAGGACGACGGTGAATATCAGTATTAATAGTAACGATATAGTAATCACGACGACCTTCGAACGTGTCACGGACGTGTTGTAGTCGGTAAAGTGAAAGGTGTATTATGTATTTACGAGCGTGTGCGTTTTGATGTAGTAATAATCTACACGTATATATCTGCATAAAAACGTAATGTTAATTGCGAGACGGGAACGTAACGAAAAAAAAATTGGAATGGGAATAATAGTAATAATAATAGAAATAAAAATAAGAAAAAAATAATTACACGCACAACACGTCAGTTAATTTTCGTTTAATCGGTTAAAACTTGCAACATTGGTCCGCGTAACATCGCGCGGCACACGTTTATGTAAGCGAATACGAACGCAACGGTCGCAAACACCTTTGTCGTAATATGGGGGCGGGCGTATTTATGGGGCCTCAGCCCCCGAATTTTTAAGCCAGCTTCTACCCTGTAAAAATGAAATTGTAAAAGCTCATACTATCATTGTTTTATCAATCAATTTATATATATATATATATCTAACAATTTCAAATTGTTCGCGTTATACGGTGTAACTGTTAATTATTTCACTAATCTTGTAAAAAAAGAGTTACGATTGCACAGTAAAAATTAAAAACCAAGCCCATACAAAAAAAAAAAAAATAGCTACTAAATACGCCCCTGTCGTAATATGTAATCGTGTTCTACGCGACGTAATTTTCGTCCGTTTTGGGTCCGAAAGAGCGTTTGCACAGCGTTCTCTGATATTTGCGCGCCCGCGCAGTCGTTGGCGGTCGACCGCAGTTGAGCCACACTTAAGGGTCATTTTTCGTCCGGGCGCAGCCAACGACGAAACGAAGGGGATCCGAGGGGATAAGGTTTGGTCTCTGTTCGCGAGGTCTGACCGGACCTTGACTACTGTTCGCCGTCGGTTCCCCCACGGAGACCTGCGATCGACCCTTATCAAGAACAATAATCATGACCGATCCGGAGCGCAATCCTCGGCCGAAGGCCGTTTGTTGTTCGCTGACGTTTTCCGTTCGGGGACGGCGAACGACAGTGAACGACTAATCGACCACGTTTCTAGTCTGGTAAAATGCTTTACCAACGGTCTAATCGACATCAAAACAGCCGTTCAACGAAGAATTGTTTACAATAAATAAATCCAAATATAATCAATAAACATTATATTTTTAAGATCAATACACATATGAATAAAAAATAATACGCTGGTAACAGGTTATTTAGAAACATTCTCGTCCACAATATTTGTACCATTTATCCGGGTAAATTATTTTCATTTTTGTTTGAAAACAAAACAAAAAACGCCTTAACGAGATAAATAATAAATATGTGTACGTATTCAGAATGAAAAAAATCGCATAAATAATAAAATTAAACGTAAATCTATATTTACATCAAAAATAGATAATACAAACACAAAACACTTAATAACATGGTATTTATTATATATTTTTTTTATTTTATAATAATTAATCATTAACTTAAATACATAAATATACATATATATATATATATTTTTTTTTTAATATATAAATATATTAAATTTTATATATATATATATTTATATATATATAAATATATAAATATAAATTATGTTATTTATAGTATAATATATAATATATGGTACAAACGCAACGAATTTATTGAGGTAACAGGATTTTTTTCTTTCATATTTCTTAAAAATAAGTTTATAATAATATTCCGAAGCGACGAGAAATGTTATTTTATCGTGTTCTCGTAACTTATCAACTATACATATATATAATTAAATGTTTATTTGTAAACTAAGACGACTCTAATGGGTAAAAATAAAATACAAAGCTTATGCTTTAAGCGCGATTAACGTTAATGAAAAATAAAAACGTTTGGGAGGGTCAAAATAAAATTATACACAATAATAATAATAATAATAAGTATAATAATAATGATGCCAAATATATAATAGTAATATTAATAATATAATAATAGTAATAATAATAATAAATGTATCGAGAACAAAAGAACCAACAGTATTAAAACCATAATAAAAACTTAAATATTTCATTATCTCAAAAATAAAATGTATTTTCCTTTTAAAATAGATTAAGAAATATACTTTCAAAATATATATTTATATATGTATCATTATTAATAATATTTTATAATTTACTTTAAAAATATTCAATCACAATGTTTGATCACGAATTCTTTCGAAAACCCTGGACGCTTTTTTTTTTATTTTAATAATTATGATTAAACATTTTTTTTTAACTATTAGTTTTTAAGAAAAGATTATTTATATATGTATATATGTTTGGAAACATCTTAGTACTTTGGTCGTTATTCAAATATTTACTCTCTTTTCTACAACATTCTACAAAAAGACTGACACAGACTTATAGTGTTGCCGCACATGAGCCCCAAACATATATGTAAAGGAAGACGGAGGCCAAAAGCATCATCAGCTAAGGTGGCAACACAATATTTAACAAGTTCATATACAGAATTATACAATCAAAATTTGAGATGTACAAATCTCACATGTGCGCCTATTATAAATTTAATGAACAATACAAGCATAAATGACAAAAAATAAAGAAAAAGAAAAGATAAGAAAAAACAATGAGCAAGTACATAGTATTATTACTTACAAAAAAAAAATGTTAACGGTAACTTATAGTTTCGTACGATCATTCTTGTGTTTCATCAAATTGTTTTTTTTTTTTTTTAACGACAATATTTTCTTTAAAATAAATATTTTTAACACCTAACATTATGAACCACAAAGGTATATAATAATTATATATGCTCTAAAACTATGTATACACGCTTTTAAATAAATAAATCTCTAAGCCTAAACAACTATGAATCTATGTTATGATAATAATAATTATAATATTATACTTATAGAGGAATAAAATAAAATAAGGCGAACGCTAACTTGTCCATCACCTTCTACAAGGAGAAAAATTAAACAACTTTAGTTATTTGTTTTTAAGTTTAATTTATTTAGACGGAATGTTTTTTTTTCAAACAAAGTCCAAAAAACGAATGCCGAATCAGTGATTTTATGCCCGAAAATCCCCCAATAAAAAAAAACACTAAAACTAATGGGGTTAACAAAGATAACGAATTGGTTTAGAAAAATATTTTGTACTCTTGATTTGGAGGCAATGGTAGTTCAATTTTTCAATATACTACATACATGTATGGTTTCTTTAAAAATTATCATAAAGAAATACAATATTAAGTGTGCCGGTAAAATAAATTGATTAAACCCTAAGATTTATATCATTAAAAAAAAAAAAAAATGAATAAAACAGATAAATACAGTTAAAAGAAATATTATTATCACATTTGTATTATAATCATTCTCTCTCTGCCTATTTTTCTCACTTATCGCTTCCATTAATAAAATGTTTGCATGTTATAAAAAGAAGAAAACCAGATTTATATATTATTTAAAATTGGAACAGTATGTAGGAACTGAACGGCATGTATTATGTTATAAATAATATAATCTTTTTAACATTTTTAAACCTTGAGCACATCTCCTTTTACTGGCCTTTTGAGATTTGGTAACCAAACATTAAATACCTAATCTAAGCATTAAAATCATTATAATATTTACAAACTATATTTTTTATATTAAAAATATATGTATACATATGCAATAATATATATGCATTATATGAACAATTAACATATCAATAATTATTGGTTTTTGCGAGCGCATAAGCACAATAAAGTTCATTAGTCATCGGAAGAATTACTCAAAAAAAAAAAAAAAAAAAAAAAAAAACATAAATTAAATAATTAAAAATAAATAATATTTATGTGGTGTGTCTTTGTGTATGTATTTGTGTGTGAGTGTATGTGTGTAATTATGTAATTGTGTATTAGTAAATGTGTACATTAGTGGTGTATCTAGTGTATAAGAGTAGTTTTGACCAACGTTCGCGTACGTGTGTAATGACGCTGTCGACGAGATCAGTTGGTAACTCTGGATGACTCAAAATATATTGAAAGTTGTCATGGTAACGTAGCTGTCGTTCAAATAGACGTTGATGGTGATCGGTCTTTAGAAATATTTAGCCAACCCTAAAAAAAGAAAAAAAAATATGAAAATAAGAACACTAAATATTAAATGTGTAATGTGACAGGAAAACATACACGCCATGAGGTTACGATTTAATCAGTAAACCCGGACAAAAGTTTGATTAGTGAATGAAGTATAGATATGCGACGAACTCCTCTACATAAGATTTTATTACAAAATAATAGAAATTATCAAAAAAAAAAAAAAATTTCGAAGACAATTTTAGCGGATGACACAATTCAGAGTCCAATCTCTAGGTTGGTCAACGCACAATCATAATGCATCATCCTAATTATCGTCCTTTAATTACCGGGACACAGCTTTTAAGAGCGCACATGTATCGTCAAATATCGAGCACACATGCAGAAGTGAGTCAACAGTATAATGACGCGAAATATCGAGACAAGTCCCCCTTGACACCGGACGGGTTAGCGATTAAATGAAAAATAATAATAATTATTTTGCAGAAAAAAAACCAAATAAATAACACGTATATGTGAACATCTAGATAACAAGTGAATAGCGCAAACTAGTCGCGTAGTCACCGATAATGGTAATCAAACGGGTTAAACTTGTCGCACGCGTGAGGGCCTCCTCCTGCGAGTGACTTTAACTAATACTTGTAACAGTAGTACAGCAACTAGTGCCTGTACAAGGACGAGCGTGATAATATTAATTGTACTAATCATAATGGTAATAATAGTATTTGCGCTCTTACGTATGAACGAGTACGAGGCGTGCATGTCTCTTCTTCTCATTTATGATGTTGATGACATATGTGGTATAGTGGTGTGTTGTGTGTAGTATTTTGGTACATAAATAAATATATACGCATTTTATGTATTTATATAAATACAAATTTATGACATATCATTATGATATATACTATTTTGGTGGTGAGTGGTGTGTGTGTGTTTTAAGTTGGTGTTATTTTCGCTTGGCGTGCAGCATCTCCATGAGTAATGTCTGCGTGGGAGCGCCACCGCTACAGTGCTTCAAGTACAAACTTTCTTCGCCTCTAGTAGCTATGTGATGGATATCGGGCAACACGGTCAACAGTTTGGTTAATTTTTCCTGCAAAACACGTACGAGAAAAACTTGTATAATCATCGGACAGTAGTGATAACTCTTTCTGATGTATAATATATTAAATGGTCTTTTTTTTTTTTTTTACCGGCACTTGAGTGTTGAACGAAAAGCAATATTCCATCAGGGCCTTCAACACTTGCTCATGACCTTCTTGAACGTGTTTACTGTTCCCGATTCCTTTGACGTCTGCAAGAATATAATATGTTAAGTATAACAGTGTTAAGAAAACAAAACCGTATCCATCGCGTTGAGAAGAACGTAACAGCACTACGTACATCTCGTGCATATATCTGTTTAGTCCAGATATGATATACATGTGACCGTATATATTACTTATATAGGTCAATGCCGCGGGAGCGTGCTCTTACCGGGGTTTAGGAGCAACAGGAACTTTAAGCAGATATAATCGCCCACGTCGAACTTGAGGTCCTGTAACTGGTCTACGACACGGGCAAAACAATCGGCCATCGAGGAGACGCCGAGCAGACCGAGAGCGAGCAAGTCAAACTTTTGTCCGTTGTGCAACATAACCTCGTTGGCCAAGTTATTGTGCATGTGCTGATGAATGTGGTCCAGAACCAGCATGTCCGACCACGAGTGCTGCAACAGTTTCATTTGATCGTCTACCTGTAATGAGAAGACGAAAAAAACATGTTTAAAAATTGAAATTGTCACTGCGTAATGATATTGTAAACAAACAAGTACAACATGTATTTAAACTGCGAACATTTAAAATTGCTTCAAAATAGCAACAATCACAATTCGACCGATAATGATATTATAATTATATAGACCGATACATGTATACACGGATAGTGTGTACATTTATAGTGTTTGACGGAGGATATTGGCATAACATCTGCAGGGCAATTATTATGTTATCATCGTTACAAACAATAAAAATACGTGTACGCGGTGGACGGAGATGAAAGGAGCTATGCCTCGTCGTAATTGGAATTAATACGATATCGTATGGTTTAAGGGAGACGACGAGTCTTTACGACGGATTCACGATAGTACACACGAATCTATTGTGAAATCTATTGTGACGAATTTATCTAAATCTGTTGGATTTCAAGAGACAGTTAACCATTCAACTTAGTGTTTGAGTATAAATAATGAAAACTTCGTTAACTTAGATGAAGTTTATTATTATTATTCCGATTGGTACACGATGGATTTGTAGTTGATTTTATTTTGTTTCGTTGTCAAATCAAGAAGGAGAATATAGAGTTGAACGGTTCGAACTAGATTCCATTTACACACGTTCGTACGTAGCTACACGACTGACGCATAGAGCCGTTTTACGGTGACCGTCACACGAATTTTGAAAACCCCCGTGTACGTGTATTTGCAGAGGATATGAGAATTCCGTTGCGTAACGCGAGATAACGATGACGGCAGGTCGTCGCCGTCTCGATTGTAATCATTTTTCTTTTTTTTTTCTTCTTTCCATGTTCCCGCTCTACGCGTACAGGTATAGGTACGGGTACACGTGTGCACGGTACACAAATAAATACAATATAATGCGTACGAATCGAGTGTAAATGCGTACGAGAAAGAAAAATATTCGTTTATTACACGTACAATAATAACGTGTGTGTATTCTCGCCCCATCGCGCGCGCGGAGCACTTCCATTTGCGCGCAACGAATCGAAAGACCTTGAAAAGTGAAAGAAGAGTCTGTGACGACGACGACGACGGCAACCGCGCGCGCTTGCTTGTGCGGCGCGTAAACGTATCTATCTCTATACGGTACGGTAGGTGTATTACATATTATTACTATTACTATTATTATTGCTGTACACAATAATGATATAATCGTACGACGTACAGCGATCGTAAATCCGAAACGACTCGCGCGTTTGTCAGGACGCGCGGACGGACGGCGATTTCGTTCTACAATTGGGACCGGGATTGAAACGTTCGATTTTTCGCATGGTACGCTTGATTGTTTTAACGTAAAGACGTTCGGCGAGCCCGTCGAGTTATTATTAACGGTTGAGGACGAACCTATTCTCGAACTTAAACCGTTATACATAAACGTACCGTAGAAACGACGTTCCATGTTTAGTATAAAACGATGCTCTTTAACCGATAATCAGTATTGTTTTTACGACTCAGACGAATAAGATTTTGTTGCACAAAGTGCGTCGTACTAGTAGGTACAATTTTAGGTCCGTCCATATTGTAAAGCGACTTCTAGCGGGTCACGAACAGCGGTATAGAACGCGCGCATACGAATGTACGAAATACGACGAGTGGTCCTAAAGGGCGGTTCCGGTGAATCGTGACTTTTTTTTCAACCCCGTATAGTATGATGTCGAATTGCGATTATATTTTCAGCGTACGCGTTTGCGAACGATGTTTGTATGGTTATTAATTACTGTAATGAACTCCAATGTTGGATCAACATTTGAAGTTTAAAATCGTCGCGTATACGATGTACGCGCAAGACCGTTAAGTCATCGGTAAACAATATATATAATACACGAGAACGTGCGATAAGTACTGCGGGAAGAAAGCTGCGACTCCCTTTTTCCCAGCATCCATCGGATGTAAATTGCTGATATATATCTACTGGGTTGCACGCGTTACAGCATTATATTATGTTTTTTCCTTTTTTTTTACAATCGTAATTCCATATTACATTACCAGCGGTGTGTGTCAGTGGTGGTCGACGGAAGAAAAACAGAATTCATAGCACAGCAGCAGCAGCAGTTGTAAAACGCGTTACGCGCGATTACGCGGGCCTTATTTTTTCTCCGTCCATCATCTCATCCGCGTTTTCCGCTTTCACTGGAAAAACCTTGAGCCCAAGGCCAATGCCGATGATTTCACTCGTAAATACGTGGCGCGCGCGTGGAAAATCCGACACGCTGCCGGAGGAAAAACGCAGTCGTATAATACACCGTGTTTGCCCCCCCTCCCCCCAGGCGGGATGTTCTTTATTATTATTATTATTATTATTATTATTATTATTATTATTATTATTATTATTAGGTATTATTATTAGTGTTATTATGAAAGTCTCGGAAACGAGTGCAAACAACCTATATAGAATCGAATATCATTTATGGGGTTTTAACGCCGCAAAACGTTAGAATTTCGATATAATACGATATAATATATATATATATATATATCGATATATATATCGAATATAATAACGCGTTCCTGACGATTTTTTACCGATCCACAAAAACCATGTAATATTGTAGAACGGGACACTTGACATGTGGTGCACAGGATACAGGTAAAAAAAATAATGATAATAAACAACTACAACGTAATAATATTTTTATATGAGCGAGTTTTATCATTCTTGCTTACGCGAGCGAGGTTTTTAGGATTCGTTTAAATTACGGTATCACAAACGAATATGTATTTCATACGCTACATCGTATACCACGGTCGAAATGCGTTCGCGAGTATGAGTTTTCTGAGAATGACGTTAAAACACATACGCACGTTAACCGCAACGTTTAAAACGCGCATTATGTCATTTCAACATGGTGCTTAATGACTAATTAGTCGTATATTACTCCGGGAAAATCGAACTGCATACTGCAGCAGGATAATATCTCAACGCAAGACATCGGTTACGAAAACCGACATAGAAACGGTTGAAAGATGGAAATGCAAGTGTCAATATTTACAAATGTAAAATCACGTTGTCGCACGCACACACATAAATTATACATGTACAAAACGAGGAAAGTAATTATTATGTTCTAGTTCAGTGGTTCTCAACCATTTTTTGTTCACGGCACACCATTATGCATTACAAGTTTTCGCGGCACACTCATGCACTTGAAAACAAAAAAATACTTTGGCTGCGCGCTAAGATATCCAGTTGGGTTAGAACCGTACAGTTTATCTATATATGTATCGTCTTATCTGCAAAATTAATTGATATTTAGCTGTCATAGTTTCATCAATCGGTATTTTCAAATATCAGACATTTTTCACGGCATACCTAGTCGATCTCGCGACACAGTAGTGTGCCGCGTCACACCGGTTGAGAACCACTGTTCTAGTTAGACGAAGATCAACAAACATTAATCGTTTAAATAACACAATTAATAATTGTAACCTCAACCGATATATGATTTTAAAAACACTCGTTCAAATCGACAAAATTGATACTATTAATTTTATAAAAACGAAAATTATTTAAATATCAACAAACTGATTTTTTTCTTTACGGATAGGTCGCGAAAAGAACCTATTATGACAGATAAATACAGGAGATATGGATTTAGGGAGGGCCCATCAACAATGTGTACACTGTAAAGCACACCGCTACATAAATTTCACTACCTCAAATAAAACTCATATTTACCCAAATAAAACGCGTTTAAAGATTTGAGACTTGAATAATTTGTAAATGGTTGGTAAGAGAAGAGAGATTAAATTTATTAAAATGTTAAAATATTATGAAACAAAACAAACCCATTCACCATATACGCACCACAAAGTTAAGATGACAATGATAGGGAAACAAAACTATTATTTAGTTGATTCAACCGATATAAAATAACAAAAAATTTAATTAACAAAATATTTCACTTGTTAGATATACAATATGTATAATTCGTTCAGACATGTAGCGATAAGAATCTTACAGTATAAATAGATAAAAACGTACTAAGCAGTATATAAGATATCTAGAAAATTCAGAAGTGAATGTATAGAGGGAATGATGACATATTTCAATATCACGAAATAATGAATTGATACATTGATCAGTGTACACGTAATGTTATATGATCGACCACCATTACAAAATTGAAAATTTTTAAATTTCCCAGGCATCTGAGTTACATATAAATTATACGATATGCATTAATCTTACCATACACGTTTTTGTATGAATAATCCTATAGAGAATTTATACACGATACTAATTTACACTTATTTTTTACAAGGGTGGGAAATATGAACATTCAAGACCCACGTGTGTGTGATAGTCGTCTTCGACACGGGCAAACAATAACAAAGTGTCTAAACACTAAACAAAATCTTAGGCCGATGAACCTAAGTAAAAAATAAACTACAATAGTACCTAGCAGTCTGTGTACGAAATGAAGTCGCAATGTCCAGCGATGTTTATATGTTGCCAATTTTTTTCAACACTTCCGCATGTGTATATATTTTTTTTTTTTTTTACTATTTTATTGTTCACCGATGTTTATTAAGAACATTATTCAAGGTGACAAAACTTGGCATGCGGTTCATGACATTAATATTTACACAAAAATCGTGTGTATGTTGTTATTATTATTATTATTTTTTTTTTTTTTGATATAAATATACACACAAGTGTCTTCTTAACCCACCGTTGTCGCGAATACAATGAACCCGTGCGTAGAAGAGAAGTGCCGCCGATATGATATAAACCGACGCGTAATATTAATTAAAACGGGGAACAATTAATGGTCACGGTGTAAAATGTACATCTATATTTTTTGGCAACTATCGTAAATAGGTCATTAGAACACGACGAAGTAGTCTCAAACGCCACCTTTGTCGTTGAGTACGTACTCGTTCCTGCATGTGTTGTATCGTTTATTATTGGCACGTATAAACGATCGAGAAATAAACGAAGCCCGTAAAATTTTTTTTTAAAAAAAAAACCAAGCGCCTTTACAATAAAATCGAGTTCATAAATAATAACGACAAATAATAGTAGCGATAAAAAAAAAATAATGGATCGAGTATAATAATAAAGGATAGTGGCATAAAATTGACAAAAACAAACGAAAAGAAAATGAAGTGTTTCACGCGGAAGTGGGACACAAGAGGGGTGTGATCGACGTCTCAGGGCGACCTACACGTACGCGAAAACACGATGACGTATAGTCGTACATACCCCTTCCCTTCTAAAGGATCGATCCCTGGCCTGACCATGACCTACCATAACCAAATTAACCCAGTCACAGACACCCCGTTACTACGTACACCCCATCTATGTCTCGCCACCGCTCGCTTGCTCGACCGTCCCTTCCATCGTCATTGCCCCTCTCTTTACCGACTGGATGTCATCATCGAATATGATATATAATTTTTCTTCAAATTTACTGTCACAAATTTTTCAATTTCTGACAAAAACTCCCAAGAGACGAGCCGGGAGGTTTTTGCTCTTCTATACCATATCACAAGAAAACCTTTAGCCGAAAACAATTTCAAAGAATTTGAAGAAAAAAGCTTATTATAAAACCAATAACAAAATATATAAAAATAGACGATACAAAGTTTGTTATTTTTAATATTTTTATAAATGTATAACACGAAAAATCAAAATTATTTCATGATTACCACCAACCAAAGTTATACAACTGGACGCATATGGTGGATTATATGGTAATCTTTTGAAAAATTTTCCAGTAGATTTTCCGGAAAATAACAATATTCTGACAGTAAAAAAAAAAAAAAAAACAGATAAACGACCAAAATTCCATAGGACAAAAAAATATTTTCATAATCACGCAATTTTTTTATACACGCATATAGAGACATTAAAGTATTTTTCATCCAGTTTTATTTTATTAATATTGGAATTTTAATTTCAAAGTACTTATAGTTTAATACAGTATAGATTAAGTATAATAAATTATAAATATTGTTTTTATATATTTTTACATATTATTATTTACTATTAAAAATACTTAGTCGTCATTGTAATTTTGATGAACATTTTGAATTTGGATTATGGTAAGGTATAACGAATAGGATACTAACATTTTAATTACATTTATTTTCACAAAATAAGAAATTCTAGTTATATATATATAATTTAAATGGAGTTTTATACAAAGTTTATAGAATTATTTACAATATTTTTTGTTTAAATAATATTTATTGTTGATGAAAATAATTTATATAAGTTTAAATTTAAAAAACATTCAAAAACTACGAAAAAGTAAACAAAACGCAACTTAATAATGATATGAACGTGATAGTTTGTTTCAAAATCTATAATAATTATAACCAAACAGTGGTTAATAGAGTGTTCAAGTAAGCAAAATATGAACGCCAAATCTCAAACGCCTGTTTTAGAATTTTTGTTGTACATCTTTTTCAGTCTTAAAAAATACAAAATACTTTTGACCTTGATACTCAGGTTATTTATAACTTTTTTTTATGTATTTCTTTAAATACACCGTTGTGGATTTACGTGAAGTTAATAATAATATTATTCTATCAACATTCTTTCGGTTAAAATAAAACATTGTTTACACATAATACACTGTTCTTAAAACACGTTTTGGGTTTTCAACCATTTCGCAAATGTATATTGTTTTAATTTTGTTAAATATATATAAAGAAAACGAAGAGAAATACGTGTTCCAAAATATGTGTCATGGGCGTTGTGCAAACTTTTTTGCCTCGTTGGATACATGCAGTGCGCTGAACAACCGTGCGCCACTAATGGGAGTTGCCTGTTTTATGATATGGTAGTATAACACAAGTATAGTATCCGGTCCATATTTTATATTTATTTGAATGCATTTTATCTTCATAGCATTGAATGTGACAAAGGAACATAAATAAAGATGGATCAATATACTATCTATGTTTTGCTCGAAACACAGAACATTTTAAACTCGACAAAGGAGCACTATCAAGAATAGATTTTATTCGAAAATAATTCGTTCTCCGCGTTATTACAAGCGAGAGGTAAAAGTATTTTGTTCGACCAATAGAATGCAAAAATGTTCCCTTTAATATTTTATTTTACAGTTGAAATGTTGAGTTTTTGGAATTTTAAATACGGTCACAGTGAAGTGCGTTGTGATGGTCATCGTTCGCTCTTCGATGTTTAGAAATTCGTGTTTTCATCGTTAAAATGTCGACTTATTAATAATAGTTTTTGAAAAAGTGACTCTTTAAAGAGCTGGAAAATGACAAGCCCGGAAGAGGGCGAGGGAAATATTCAATCCGTAATAACGATGATGCGTGATAGGATATATTTCTAATTTCAACCCGATGTTTCGGTTGACGAAAAGAAAAATACTGAAAAATCGTATTGAATAGAACACAAATTACTGCTGTTGTTATCCTACGCATATCTGTATGAACGAAAATAAAACCTAGTTTGAGGGGAGAATCTAATAACGTTATAGGTAAAACGGCGGATTTTAATAATAATAATAATAATAATAATAATAATAATAGCTATATAGCGTACGAGAACACGTTGGTGGCCGTTGGTAGCTCGCATTTGCGTCGCGGGTGGTGCGCGCACGAGAATCGAACGCGTACACACTACCACAGCCGAAATGACCCAGAAAAAAAAGGAATACGTGCACGAGGCCGAAGTGTAAATGATTAATTTATTAATAAATGAACGGGCGTACGGACCGAATGGTATTGTAGAAACCGAATTTTCGTGCGTTGAACGGGTCGAGAAACATAGACAGAAACGAAAAAGATACGGGGAGCGTTACGATGAAGAATATTTTATTTATTTATTTTTTTTAATTTCTCCCCACCAGCGAACATCGGAGTAAGAAGTATAGTAGTAGTACTATAGTAGTACAACGCAGTAGTTAGTGGTGACTAGCAATAACACAGTACGAATTTCGCGAATAAAGTCGTCCCGTCGTCGACACACCGCACCGATACGAGTGAACGCGGGGCGGGTGACGTTCACTCGATTAACATTTATCAACGGCGATGAACGACGGAACGGCAACGCCGACCCCGGCGCACGTAATGAGCATCGTGATAGATGGCGGCGGTGCGGGGGAAACGACGGCGGCGGCGGCAGCGGTTACCGGCGCGCACCGCCGCCGACGCCGTGCCCCTAAATCGGGCCCCCGGGACGACTGCGGGCCGGTGCCGCGACGACGGTGGCCGACGGCGGCAGCGGCGGCAACGGCGTCGGTTCTCTTTGTGCCGGGCCAACAACAGGCGGCAATAGCCGACGAGCGCCATGCGCTACTCTTTTTTCGTATTTTTAAACGCCGCCGCCCGCAATAAAAAAGAAAAAACACTTTACTATCATTCGTCACTATACACGCGCGTAAAACGAATTATTATTTAAAATCGCGTACGTCGTGCAATGCGATCTGGACGCGAACGTTCGATCCCCTCCCCCCGCGCCGGATCGATCCCACGAGGGTATCCACACACGATGGCGGTAAGATGGTTCTGTTGTTATCATTATTGCTGTTGCTTCTCCGTCGCGCCGATTGTTTTTTTTTTTTTTTCGTCATTAATTAAACACATACGCAAACGTAAACGCGCGCGCATACAAAATACATTAAATATAATAATGGAATAAAATGCGTGTGTTCACCTACGTCGCAATTGCACGCGCGCACGGCATTGTTCTCTCCTCCGGTCGGCTTTTCTGTGCGCGCGCCGCAGTTGCGCAAAAAAACCGTACGGCGCCGCCGCGCGACAGTGCATTACATATTATTTCGTATTATACATTTTACGTGATCACGAGAGGTGCTTGTGCGTGTGCACAAGAAATGGCGGCGACGAACTTGGCCTCATTTTACTTTTTACTTTTTTTTGCCCCCGCCCACCGCCGCACGACCGCTGGCGGAGTCCCGCAAACCGCGAAACGAGACCGTTCCGCAGCTGTATTGCACACGCGCGCGCACGTTCTACACGAATGTGTAATGGACCGCTCACGCGACCGATGTATTAATATTCTATCGTTACTATATCGGTCACTACGGGGCCTGTAAAAATGGATGTCCGTTGTACGGTCGTCGTTTGACCCATTACGCCGTTATCATCATCACGCGCGTTCGAAATGACTGGCGCGGACATTTTTACGACCCGGAAAGCGGCAAAGCGGTTAACGCGCGATACAAGGTGCAGCGGAGATAAAAATAATTCGGTGGACGTTTTATCCCTTGCCGTCAAAAACATACGAAACCGAGTTCATCCGCTCCCGTCCCTGGAGATCTACGCTATCTATATCGTACACGTCTACGTACGGCGGTAAGCGCTTACGGGGTGCAGTTAACGGTTACACGTCGCGGGGGTTTAAAACGACAATGTACCTTACCTTCAGATCTTTGAAGAACACCGAATTCCGCGCCCAGTCCACTTGCGAGAACAGATTCTGGTCGAGCACCTTGCACATGAGTTCGAACAGGTCGACTTCGCACTGGTTGTACGTCTGGCTCTGCAACAAGCCGAACAACGAGTTCTGCCACTCCCGGTCGTCCAGGCCCTGCACGAATTCCCGGATCATGGGCGGCATGCCCTTGCTGCCCGTCACAACGCTGGTACCGTTGGACGTGGCCGACGAGCTGCCGCCGCCGTCCACCATCTGTTGCTGCTGCACGTGGTGTTGTTGCTGCTGCTGTTGTTGCTGCTGCTGCTGCTGCTGCTGGTGGATCAGGTAATTTTTCGGCGACGACGGAGGTGACCACATTTTATTCACGGACAACATGGACGCTGCGGGACCGCCGGCCGATTGTTGTTGTTGTTGTTGTTGCTGCTGCTGCTGCTGCTGCGGTTGCTGTTGCTGTTGTTGCTGTTGTTGTTGCGCTTGCTGTTGCTGGTGATGCTGTTGGTGTTGCGACGGGGGTCCGCCGCCGTTCGTTCCACTCATGTTGGTCACCACCGAGTTATTGTTGTTACTGCTGTTGTTGTTGTTGTTGTTATTGCCGTTGGCGGAAGCGACGATTTGCAACGTCATCTGCGAGTGCTGGTTGACCGCGCACGTGGTGACTCCGGCACCCGTAGCCAGAGAACCCAGTCCTGCCTGGCCCAGAGCCACGGCGATCGGGCTGGGCGAGGAGTCGGGCGACGACGTCAACGATGACACCTGTTAGAAACAGATAAAACAGCATTTGTAAAAAAAATACTTAGGGTGCATATTATATTTTCTCTAGTCTGACGCGCTGGCGCAACTATTTAAGGGTAGACAATTTAAGGGTTGCACGTATTTTCCTAGTGTGAAATCAAATATATATATATATATCGTAATTACATTTTATTTTCACGTACTGAGACCCCGCCGCAATCGTGTGAGAATAATTACGGTGTTCGGATTTCTAACTGTGTATTCGAATTTCGAAATTTACGCAATAGTGTTAGACACATGCTAACGGCGAATAATAATTATGAGAATTATGTGAAATTGATAGTTGTGACACTGACACCACTGACGCATACGTTTTAAGGGTATTGAAACACTTTTGAATTTTCTAGCAAGATCTTATCAGTTTAAAGTTAAACTTTAAAGAGATTACGATCGTAGTTCACGCTTATTATAAGTAATTTGGTAAACTAGACTTGTACTTAAAATTCGATTTTCGAGCACTTAAAATATATTCGTGATTGGTATCGCAGGAACTATATTGCCATGGATATTTTTCAACCTATTCAGAAAATACAATTGAAGTAGTAATTCCAATTATAAAGAGGCATAAAGTATTAAATAAGTTAGTTAAAAAATGTATATATAGAAATAAAATACATTTTATAGGAAAAACAATACAGTCAAAATACGATTTACACGTAATATAATTATTTTCGTTGACATTTTAAGATGAACAAAATGTTAGCAAATCAAAAAGTTTCTTATGAACAAGTAAGAATTTTCACCTGAGGAATCTGAATTTCTTGTTTGATGTGCAAACTGGAACCTGTTGAGGTGATAGTCGAGCCTGGATATTGGCCCAGCGTGACCGCGTCGCCGGCCAACATGGCGAATTGGTGGTGACTGTTTGCTGCGGCCGACGTGACCACACCACCGCGCAACGTCTGCACGGCCATCTGTCGCTGTCGCATCATCTGCAACTTTCTCGCTCTGTCTCGTTTGTACATGGGACCGAATTTGTTTCGACCACCTCGCATCCTATCGGCTCGGACAGCTGAAACACAACAAGACACATTATTGGACTGATATGCATACGGTGGGGTAAACGGCTGTGTTAAATGAAAACACCAAATAACCTAATCTATATTACGTATTACTAAGACTGCTGGCGCATACTCTTGATGATTAAACACCAATAATTCATACACAACCCAAAGGACGATTATTTCAACGTGAATCGGGAAACACGTAAAAGAAAACGTATGATTTAAAAAAAGGATAAAAGTTTTAAGCCCAGATGGAAACATTTAAAGTGTAAATAGAAAACTGTACACCGAGCAAAAATAATACACGAACTATCAATCATGATTAGCGTTTAATAGCAGTCCAATCGAATAAATATATGTATGCGTTACAAAACGTAAGCCGAGAACAAATTGAATTCAACGCTCGTAATAGGTACACCATACGTAGGATACATGTATACGTCAATAACATCGCCGTCGGTAAGTTTACAACGGTTTTTTCGGTTCAAACGCGAGTCGAGATAAACGTGTACACGTAGAGACTAAAAACGGTATTCGATGCCCGTGCGATTATGTGACAATAGACAATTACGCCACACGGTTTTCGTCGCACACACCGATTGGAGAAACACACGTAAATCCTAATACGTGCGACCGGTGGGCAGACCGCCGAGAGTTATGCGTTAGAATATCGTATGCGGTGCGCGCGACGGCGTTTCGACTGCGAAAAAAAAAATAAAAAAACAATACGCCGTGTAACATCGTGCGCGCACACAATTAATATAATTACGCCGACGAGAAAATCATGGCGAGGGGAACACTACTGCTGCTGCTGCTGCTGTACTCTACCTATATACGCGGTGCGCACGAATCAAAAAAAAAAAAAAAGACTCGGACGACGCGACACGGGCGTGAACACGACGATAATATCGACGAATCCTCTCATGGCGTGGCCGTCCAGAAAATTATTGTACCAAAGAATCGGAAACGTACGTCCATATTATTATTTATTCGTGTAAACCGCATTGTACATAAATGCATATACGCGTACGTATTTCACAGTCAACAATGGTTCTCATCGCATACGTCCCCCCCGGACCCATCCGCAGTAATAACAGTGGAAAAACCTCGGCGTTCCTCCTGTTATTAAAGTTATTATACCAAACCGACGTACGCACACGAACCGTCGTGGTAGGCTCTACGCGCGTGCACACACGGCGTAACGACAACTGCCGTATTGCGCAGTCATCCTCTCCGGTTCCCCGTACACACCATAGTAGGTTAGGTAAAGTGTGTGCCCGTAAAACTGCTACACAAGTTGGCTGTTACGGAACGGTACGCGTTTGAAAAAATTTGAAAAAAAAAAACAAAACAAAATTTACAATAAATGGTTATGGTGTGCGTTGAAAATAATTTGATTGAAAATACTGTGGAGTCGTCGAATACTGTTGACGGTAATGCGGCATCGAAGCAGCGAGTATTACAATAGATTTTAACAACGCGAAATCGAACGGGTCAAATGGTTTCAAGTTTGAAAACGTCTTCGTCTCCGTCTTTCTCTTTAATCGTACATCCCCACCCCCCTAGTAACACTGAAAAATTTAAGGTGAACACGTCTTACACGCAATCGGAACATTAACGTTATAATAACGATTTGTACCCACACGCACACACACACACACACACACACGTTACGTAGGTTAGGTATAACAAGTCGTAAAACAACGGCGGGGGAGACAACCAAACGATATTCGGCCGACAAATAATTTTGATACACTATCCGAAACAAATTACGTCGAGTAAAAAATAAACAATACTCCGATCGAAACAGATCGTACACATATGAAGCCGTGAAGATCATAATCCGTCATACGTTTTGTACAAGGTATTTCTCTGGTCTCTATACATAGAAGACAATACCATATAGTGTACGTTGCATTTTTGAATAATAATGTTTATTATTTCACGTACTGACAGATCTCGAGTTGCAGTAAATACAATAAACCGGTTATAGCGCAGATTATGACGCATACGAGTAACAACACAAAAAATAAAAAAGATATACTGTAAATTATGGACGTAGCGATTGATAGTACAACAGATGTTGTACCTAGTCTATTATATCGTAATAAGAATGATCGATACGTTATAAGTAAAAAAAAAAAAAAATGTCAAAAATAGTATTCAAATCGGCAACCAAAAACCGATGAAAACGAAACAGATTTGTTAATAGTAAAGTTTGAACACAAATCGGATAACTCGGAATTATGTCAAAAAACTTTCATTTTATCGAAAATAAAAATAAAACGATTTTTTAAGAAACCGTGAGACGCATTACAAACTCATATGTACTCACGCACATATTTCAATGATAATCACAGTTCTTCGGACCCGGTCGATAATAAAATTGAAAAAAAAAAACATAACAATGAGAATGAAAAATATCTACAATACGTATACGTATAGAAGTCTAAAGATGTAAGAATAAAGGGTTTTAAAAAACTGTCTACACGCACGCATGAGAAATTCGAAAACCACCTGACGCTGGCCCGTACCGAATAAATATGCGTGTGGTGAATTCGTGCGTATTGCGCCACGGCTCAATTGCGTAAGGCCATGCGCGATTTCAAAAGGTAATTTTAGTGGATACATATCGAGATTGGGCGTTAAAACGAAAATAATTACAAGCATTGCGAAAATTGCGAAATACCATCTTTGCCGTAGCGACGTTCGTCGATGAATCGATTGCACATACGAATCTACGGCACATCAGAGTTGACGACACTCGACAGCAAAACAAATAAAAATAAAACATCGCTAGCACAGCGGATTGGAAGCAAAAGCAAAAGAAAAAAAAAATCCATTAGAGCAGAGATACATTGGTCGAGTAGATATCGATAAATATCGTCACCACTGCCTAAATACGATCGTTTACAATTCTTGTCGTTCTTCACTCCTTAGCGCGTTTCAACGGCAGTAAGTTCAATCGCAACCGAATGACATCGGATCCGATTCTCCGTTGGCGATCGCACGTGCGAATGTTCATCGATTTCCCGGTTAAAAGTTAAGACTCATAGGAAAACGACGGAAGATGAACGATTTTCTTGTTTTTTTTCCGCCTAACCACAGTTACTGCAGGACGGGTGGGACGGTGTCGATTTAACGTACGAATTTGTTGCATTTGTCTGGCGCAAAAGCCCGTCGATATATCACGTTGAAGAGGTTGAGAGTAGACGGTCGAGACGCATTGCAGAATTATTCACACACCGGTGTGTGCGCGCATACAAAATGCGTATACGGTTCGTTAAAGCCGATCGTGCGAAATGTTTACGTGTGTAGGATAAATATGTAAATTCGCCGTCGAAGCTGCGACGGGATTATTGAGACAAAGAGAGAGATAAACGTACGAAAAGGCGCAAAATATTATTATAATTATGTTTATGTGTATACATATACGCGCGTTGAACACAGATACGTACTCGACGAAGAGCAAAGATATACACAGCAAAGATATACACAGTCGGACGGACGGGCGAAGGGTGATAGAGGTGACCGATTTTCTCACCGATTGTACGGTCGTACACACAACATGTATGTATATAAATTCTATGTGTATTCTATGAATATTAAGCACATACATACATACGTACATATACACACAAACGTAAGAGGTAGAAGGCGTGTGGCCTTGAGAACACCACCACCGTCGTAACGGCCACAACCGATACACGCCGCTTACGAAATTAAGTGGCAGCGTTGCGGCTTTGCGCGCACGCGCAATCGCGCTACGGTTGCTATGTATTAATAATATATTATTCCATTAAGCGGGACGGCTCGAACGACGATTGTGCATATTATATACCGGCCGAGCGCGGCGCGGTTGTTGCGACGTTGCCACCGCCGCCGCCGGCCGGTCACGGTGTTCGGAGACTTGAACGCCTATCGTCGCCGTCGCCGTCATGTGTGCGCGCGTGAGCGACAGCGTATACGTTAGAAGGGGGGTAATTCAGAATGAAAGAAAAATAAAATAAACAAAAAAAAAAAATAACTAAATATTATAATAACAGTGGCAGTACGCGAAGGGTAGGAGAGGAAGAACGGAGGTGATGGGTGGGGGATAAGAGAAAACGCGCGTCAAATCTCCCGGCGATTATTATACACCGTACGGCACCTTAACCATAATACAGTGTCGCCGCGACACTATAGGCGATTTTAGGTTTCAACGAACCATTGTTGCGCAATAATAGCGCGCGCGACTTGAAAGATGGACGTGATTGTGATCATTGCCACCGGCCCGCGAAGACCGCCGCAGTCTTATACGTACGCGCGCGAATGCGAATGCGGTTGCGGCGGCGGTATATATTATACACACACATAGTGTATACGGTGTCAAGGCCATTTGCCTTGGCCCAGTCGCCGGAGAAAAGTGAGTGCGCCACGAGTGTTGTACGTTTTGAACATACATAAATAATAAATACGAGTAAGGGTACACACGTATACCGTACATGCGAACACGGCGAAAGAAAGCGCGTGCAGAACCGCCGACGAGTTCCGCTTTTACTTTCTTCGCGAACGAAGGTCACCGGATTCGCGTAATACCTTGTAATCGCACCGGAATGATGCACTTCTGATCCGACGCTGCTGCGAGCAATCCGGCACCTCGGGTTCGCGTGCGGGTCTCTTCTTGTGTTAGTGCAATCGCGACGGTACATCTCGGTACCCCGTATAGCGGTCAGCGGCCGTGTTCGTGGAAAACAGTTCAAAGGTAACGATCTAATATATTTATGAAGAACAATGTTCATCTCAGCGTCGACTAAATATTTTTTTGAAATGCGACTTGGTAAGTTTGGTTCAGAAAAAAAAAAAAAAAAACAAACAATCTTATATTATTATAAAAAGCACGCAAAATTCGACCACGCTAAATAAATAAAAATAATTCACCGCCGGTGCGCACCGGTATAAATGTGTTTTAAAATAACTATTTCAAAATACAACAAACAGTTAGTAAATTCCAAGATAGATATTTAAG